AGCAGATGGTGAAATTTGAGTTCAAATTTTTAAAATCTGGCTTTAAGAAAAAAAATCTAACGTTCTTTAGGAAAGGAAAACTGCCATCGTTACCTGATCTGGCCTACATGTCATAATGTTGAGGTGCCGATGTTGGACTAGGGTGGACAAAGCCAGATGCCACATGACACCGGGGTGTAGTCCAACAGGTTTATTTGAAGTTGGAGCACTCAGAAAGCTCATGATTTCAAACAAACCTGTTGGACTATAACCTGATATCGTGTGACTTCTGACTTTGGCCTCCACGTGACTCCAGACCCACAGCAATGTGGATGAATCTTAACTGCCTTCTGGGCAATAAGATGGTCAATAAATGTTGGCCTAGCCAGTGATGGACAGATTTTGTGAATAAATTGTTTTTAAAAAGTCATAGCCAGCCATAACCTGAAAATATTGTCACTTCCTGTTCCGGCATCGTTATTTCTAATTGAGGATCTATACTTGGCTCGTTCCTGTTTCTTATCTACTCCTGAGGAACGTCACCTAAAAATATCAGTTTGACAGTGTATGATGATGACAGTCTGCTCTATTTCACCATCATTTCTCCACAGTTTCTCTGAATTATCAGACTATTTGCCTAGCATTAATTACTGGATGTGTAGACATTTGCTTCAGTTTAATACCAGGAAGAGTATAGCCATTGTTTTTGACCCTGCCTTTCCCTCCCATAACTCCAGCTCTCTCCCTGGCAACTGTCATGAACAGACTGTACAGTCTCTTGGTATCATACCTCTTGATGAATGTCTGACTGCACACTTGTACCATCACCAAGATTGATGTTTTTCCACATCCATCACTTTATCCAATATAGCCCCTACCCAAGTTCATCTGCTGCTGAAAATCTTATCCATCTCTTCCTCGAATCTAAACTTGACTGTACAAACACTATCCTGGACAGCCTCCCACAATCTATCCTTGTGGTGATCCAAACCTCAGTAGCTCACCATTTGTCCATCTCCACTGTGCTCAACGACCTACATCAGCCCCCGGTCAAATGACATTTCTATTTCAAAATCTCCACCATTGTTTCCATGGCCCCATCTCTCAATCATCTGCTCCCATCACAAAGCTCCCCGAAATCTTAGCGCTCACTTAATTGGCGTCCTGGACTTTAATTTCCTCACCAATTGCTGGTGGTGCTTCTCTTGCAGAGGACCCGAGCTTTGGAATTCCCTCCCTAATCCTCTTTGCTTTCCCACCTCTCCATTTAGACACTCCTGAGAATCTTCCACTTTGGCCAAGTCAGTGGTCACCAGTTCTGATATCACTTCATCCTATGAAGCATTTATGTTAAAGATTTGTCTGAAAGTACAAATTCAGGAGGTTCTCAATGCTGCTTGATGCAATGCTGCAATGTCAGGAGTTGAGTGGCTGAGTGAGGCAGGGAGCTATAAATCAATTAATTACTTTAATGTTACATTGCAAAAGGAGTCAAGAAGTTGAAGCTTTTCTTTCTTGCACTCAACAGAACTAGGACAGAAGTCTTTTTCATATCTGTTTCTTCCATATTGGTTCATGATTGCAAAATATAAAGCTTCACTTCTTATCGGTAATTAAATAATTTGAAGATAGCTAAATAAATCTGCCTGACACAATAAAGATGGCAAAATGGGTATTGAGTCACGGGTGTGGCATATGGGAGCTCCTGGATACCCTATCTGTAGCTTGAGGAGTCTCAGCTCAGTCATTGAGCTGTGACATTGTGACACATCAGGGAGTGGGAAAGTTACCTGGCCACTTTGTTCCAGAAGGCAGTCACACCCCTTATGTTGGTATAATTTGATTTGGTCTGTGATCAGGGACTGCAAGGTGTGACTGCGCGTCAAGAATGTAAGGAGAATGAGAACGTGGGAGCGGAGGAACTTTAGACCTTGCAATTGTCCAACAAATTTGAGGTTCCTGCAGTTTGTGTGGACAACAGTAGTGAATGAACTGACTGACCGTTACATCATGGTACAAGGAGCAAAGCAAGTGGAAGAGCTAAAAGAAATATAGTGATAGGAGGGGACAGTATAACAAGGGGGATAGACAACTTTCTACCAACCGAGAACAAGACTCCAGAGAGCTATGTTGCCTGTCAAGTGCCAGGGTTCCAGTTTTCTCCACAGGACTGGAGAGGAACCTGCCATGGGAGGGGGAGGACTCTGGAGTCATGGTCTGTGTAGGGACCAACGACATAGTTAGGACAAGCAAAAAGGTTCTGTTTGGATAGTATGACAGAACTAGGCACTAAATCGCAGAGCAGACCTCAAATGTAATAATCTTTCGGATTGTTACCTGAGTCATGTGCAAATTGGCATCGGGTAAATCAGAGTAAAGAGATGAATGTTGGCTCTAAGGCTGGTGTGAGAGAAGTGGATTCCAGTTTATTGGGCACTGGCAGCAGGACTGGAGAAAGTGATGTAGCACTATTGGGACGTCTACACAAAAACCTTGCTGAGACTGGTTTCCTACTGAGCCATATAATCGTGGAAGTAGAGATGGCTTTAAATAAAACAGAGGGAAGAAGAAGTCATATTGGGGAAGTGTGAGTAAATTACAGGTCAATGTATAATCAAGGTAGCAAAAATGGTAAAGATGATCAACATAAGAACATAGGCCATTCAGCAATTCGAGCCTACTCCACCATTCAATATGATCATGGCTGATCAAACACTTCAATCACCCCATTCCTATAACCCTATACATCACTGATAATCAGAAATCTATCGATCTACCTTAAGCATCTCTCTACCTTAACCATACTCCAAACATACTCTACCTTAAACATTGATTGCACAATGTTCAGCAACATTTGTGACTCCTCAGGTACTGAAGCAGTCTGTGTTCAAATGAAACAAGATCTGGACAATATCCAGGCTTGTGCTGACAAGGGGCAAGTAACATTCGTGCCACACAAATGTCAGGCTATGATCATCACCTACAAGAGACAATCTAACCATCACCCCTTCACACTCAATGGTGTTACCATCACTGAATCCCCACTATCAACATCCTGAGGATTATCATTGACCAGAAACTCAACTGGACACACCACATTAACACAGTGGCTATAAGAGTAGGCCAGAGGCTAGGAAATACTGTGGCGAGTAATTCACCTCTTGACTACCCAAAGCCTGTCCACCATCTACAAGGCACAAGTCAGGAGTGAGATGGAATACTCCCCACTTGCCTGGATGAGTGCAGCCCCAACAACACTCAAGAAGCTTGACACCATCCAGGACAAAGCAGCACTTTGATTGGCACTACATCCACAAGCACTCACTCCCTCTACCTCCGACGCTCAGTAGAGGCAGTGTGTATTATCTACAAGATGCCCTGCAGAAATTCACCAAAGATCCTCAGACAGCACCTTCCCAACCCACGGCCACTTCCATCTAGAAGGACAAGGGCAGCAGACATATGGGAACACCACCACCTCCAAGTTCCCCTCCAAGCCACTCACCATCCTGACTTGGAAATATATCACCGTTCCTTCACTGTCACTGGGTCAAAATCCTGGAATTCCCTCCCTAATAGCATTGTGGGTCACCCCACAGCAGGTGAACTGCAGTGGTTCAAGAAGACAGCTCACCATCACCTTCTCAAGGGCAACTAAGGATGGGCAAGAAATGCTGGCCAGCCAGCGACTGAAGTAAAACAAACACAAAGACTGAGCTTTTGCAGCCCTCTGGGATAGAGGTTTTCCAAAGTTCACAATCCTCTGAGAAAAGAAAACATACACCTAATCTCAGTCATAAATGGCATCCACCTTATTTTTAAATTGTGCACTTTGGTTCCAGACTCCCCAACTGGGAAATCACAGCACAACCTGGAGGGGCAACATCTCAGAGATAGCAAGAACTGCAGAAGCTGGAGTCAGAGTCAATACAATGTGGAGCTGGAGGGACACAGCAGGTCAGGCAGCATCAGAGAAGCAGGAAAGTTGATGTTTTGGGTTTACACCCTTCATCAGGACTTCCTGAATGGTGTAAACCTGAAATGTCGACTTTCCTGCTCCTCTGATGCTGCCTGACCTGCTGTGTTCCTCCAGGGCAACATCTCATCTTCAGACTAGGCACTTTTCAACCTTCTGAGCTCAATTTTGAGTTCGACACTTTCAGATTGTGAACACACTCCCATTCCTTCCCTTTCTTTTAGCTTTACTTGTTACATTGCCACCATGTCCTCTCTCCCCTCCCCCCACCGCAGTGGGACTGTCTGTTCTTTCCAGTTTCGCAGTTGGACACACCATTGTTCTGCCATTCTCACATTCTGATCACTTCATCTGAACTATCAACATCCTTTCTCCCCCCAGCACTCCACCAGCCCCTCCCTATAGCATAAATGCTGCTCCCTCCAAATTTCACATCAGCTCTGATGAAGAGCCATCTCAGCACGAAACGTTAGCTTGTTGTCTCTCCATGGATGCTGCCTGACCTGCTGAGATCTCCATTTTTTGTTGTTTTCAGAACAGATTCCAGCATCTGCATTAATTTGCTCAATCACCTCACCTGTATCGATCCTGTTCATCCGATTAAGTATATTTATGTTTCAATGAGATCACCTCATCACTCTTATAATGTCGAGGCCAGTTTGCTCAATCTGTCTTCATAGAACCAGTCCCTCTATCCCAGGGACAGGACTGGTAAAAGCTCATTGCAGACCCTTTATGGTAATGATATCTTTCCTGAGATAACAAGGCCAAAACTGCACATACAGTTTCACTTGGCATCACAAAGTAGGTGAAGGTAATTTGGAGTATTTCCAAGGTCCTAGTTAAAAGAGTGATTGCAAACGACACCCATCAGTTTCTCAAAAGCGTTAACATTTAAAGAAATTTCGTGGACTAATTAACTGGTTCAGAGCCAAAACCAAACAAAAAAGTCTTGACTGGAAGATTGTGGTCGATTTTCAGTACATCTGCGATGTAATTATCTGCAATTGTAATGTGACTTTGGTTGGTTTTCCCTTCTCTCCAGTATGTTTTCGATTACCACGATGGTGATGTGTTTGGCTGTGTTGCGGATGTTGGTTGGATCACTGGGCACAGCTACGTGGTGTATGGACCTCTGTGCAATGGAGGAACCACCGTGCTGTTTGAGAGCACTCCAGTCTACCCGAACCCAGGTAACACCAGTGGAGGCTCAGTCATGGTGATAACACCCTCACGTGTACACATCTTGCAGACAGACATGCAGACAGAGCTCTCAAAGAATATAGAGGAAGCAGGAAAGAACTTAAACAAGGAGTTAGGAGGTCTAGAGGGGGCCATGAAATGACCTTGGCAAACAGGATTAAATAAAAGCCCAAGAATTTTTTATATGTATACAAAGTGCAAGACGATAGCCAGGGAACAGGTAGATCTACTCAAGGACAAAGGAGGGAACTTATGCATGGAACGGGAGGATGTGGGTGAGGTCCTTAATGAATCTCTTTGCATCGGTATTCACAAAGGTGAAGGACATGGTACATGGTGAGTCTAGAGAGGGGTATGTTGCTAAACTAGGGCATGTCAATGTAAAGAAAGGAGGAGATGTTGGGTGTTTTGAAAAGCATTAAGGTAGATAAGTCCCCAAGACCTGATAGGATCTATCCCAGAATACTGAGGGAGATAAGGGAGGAAATTGCTGGGGCCTTGTATGAAAGTTTTGAGTCTTTTTAGTCACAGGAGAGGTCCCAGAAGACTAGAGAAATGTTGTTCCTTTGTCTAGGAAGGGAAACAGGGATAATCTGGGAAATTGAAGGCTGGTGACCCTTACGTCAGTGGTAGGGAAATTATTAGAGAAGATTCTTAGGGTCAGAATTTGCTTACATTTGGGAAAATGTGGAATTTTTAGCGACAGGCAGCACGGCTTTGTGCGGGAGAGTCCGTGTCTCACAAATGTGAATGAGTTTTTTGAGGAAGTGACAAAAATGATTGACGAGGGCAGGCTGGTAGATGTTGTCCAAATGGACTTTAGCAAAGCCTTTGACAAGACCCCTCATGGCAGGCTGAAACAGAAGTCACATGGGATCTGCAGTGAGATGGTAAGATGGAAACAAAACTGGCTTGGTCAAAGAAGACAGAGAGTAGCAGTGGAAGGGTATTTTTCTGACCAGTGGTGTTTTGCAGGGATCAGTGCTGGGACCTGTGTTGTTTGTAATATATGTATGTAACATATATGATTTGAAGCAGAATGTAGGTGGTCTGATTAGCAAGCTTGTGGACTTCCCAAAGATTGGGGAGCTAAGGATAGTGATGAAGATTTCCAGAGGATACAGCAGGATGTAGATAGGCTGGAGACTTGGGTGGACAATCCAGACGAATGTGAGGTGATGCATTTTGGAAGGTCTAATGCAGGAGGGAAGCATACAGTAAATGGCAGGACCCTTCGAAGCATTAACACACAGAGGGATCTGGGTGTACAGACCCACAGTCCCTGGGAAGTGACAACACAAGTGGATAAGGTGATCAAGAAGGCAAAAAGCATGCTTACCTTCATTGGTCTGGGCATAGAGTATAAAAATTGGCAAGTCATGTTATTGCTGTATCGAACTTTAATTTGGCCACATTTGGAATATTGTGTACCACTCTGGTCATCACGCTACCAGAAGGATGTGAAGGCTTTGAACAGAGTTCAGATATGGTTTACTAGGATGGTGCCAGGTTTGGAAAGGATTAGCTACGAGGAGAGATTGGACAAACTTGGTTTGTTTTCACTTGAATGTTGAAGGATGAGGAGTGACCTGATAGAAGTTTACAAAATTTGGAGAGGCATGGATAGGGTAGAAATGTCAATTACTAGGGAACTTAAGCTTAAGATAAAAGTGGGTAAGTTCAAAGGCGATGTGAGAGGCAGTTTTTTACACAGAGGATGGTAAGTGCCTGGAATGTGCTGCCTCCTTAAAACGTGTGATCTAATCTGATCTGATATCTTTTTACGAGACTTGCTGTCACGTTTCGTTTTATAACGTGCCTGTGAAGCACTTTAGGATGTTTCATTACTTCAAAGGTGCTATATAAATAGAGGTTATCGTTTGAAGTCCTTTCATGAAGCCTTCACAGCATCTACAGCTTTTACAAACTTTACAAACTTTATGCTGAACCTTTTGGATGCTAGGACAGCGTTCGTTGTCCCTACACACACTTCCCCAGTGTTAAACATGAGCAGTCGGAGATGATGCAGATGGACGTACAACTGTACAGGGTGGCTTGGGGCAATCTTTCTGCCTCCTGAATTAGAACATAACAAGCAGCTGATAAGTAAGCATTACAACCAGTCAATGTGAGCCTTGAACTGATGGCTGCTGACTCACACCAGGGCAGATTCTGTGTGAATTCTTCGCAACTGATAAAGGCAGAGATAAGATGCTTGTGCTGGATATAGAACTCAAATGGTTACTGCCTGATAAGGTTAGGGAGGGTCATTTGAAACCTGCAGAATACATTTCATACTGGGGAATGTGTAGCTGCAATTGACAAATCAGAGGGAACATTTGTAAAATGATATGAACAGATCAGATGAGGGAGAGGTAGAGTATTGCTTGACAGAAATTGGGTAAGAGGTAACTGGAGAGAGTGGAACCTGTGAGGTTCCCCTGTTTGGACTTACAGTTTGTGCTTGGGAATCGTGAGGTTTTTCAGAATATTGGGCTGAATCTTACTTTTTAATGCCCAAGTGTCAATTTCACTGAGTTTTTGGAGGGGTTTTTCTCCATGGGGCCCAGTGAGATTCCTCACTGCATCTTACCAAGTTCATTAACTGCAACCCTCCAGTTCCTGTCGTGCAACTCTTGCTCCATTCTAGCTGCACCTAACCATGTGCTGTTCCCGGAACAACTCATCACTCACCAGGTGCCTGCCAAAAGACCACAGTCCCGGGTGCATGTCCCATACTGAAAAGGCTGCTGTGGGCACAGATGATCCTGGGGCAGCACAGTGGCTCAGTGGTTAGCACTGTTGCCTCACAGTGTCAGGGACCCGGGTTCAATCCCACCCTTGGGCGACTGTCTGTGTGTAGTTTGCACGTTCTCTCCGTGTCCTCGTGGGTTTCCTCCTATTTGCTCCCACAGTCTAAAGGTGAGCAGGTTAGGTGGATTGCCTGTGCTAAATTGCCCGTAGCATCCAGGGATGTGTAAGTTAGGTGGGTTAGACATGGGGAATGCTAGGTTACATGGGGATGCGTCTGGGTGGGATGCCCTTTGGAGGAGCAGTGTGGCCTATTTCCACACTGTAGGGATTCTATTGTAAAGCTGCTCAGTGAGGGATGTTTATTCAAAAGCTATCAGAGAAAGGGGAAACAGTGCCAATGATTCTCTGATATGAAGTCCTGGTAGTGCAGAGGTGTCGTCTTCCTGGAGGAGGCCACCTCACCAGACCCTGGCAGGTTGCTCCATCCTGCCTGGGATAGTTTGGTCTCCATGTGCCACAGGAGTGGCCAGCCATGCCACAAGAATGTGACTGTTCTCTCTGCTACCTCACACTCACTCTACGTCTGTTGCTGCACTACCACCCACCATGCTCTGCCATTTTCACCGTTACCTTCCCTCACATGGGCAGTGAATCAAACGGAGAAATAAACCCATCTGACCCAGCAGTGACTCTGCGCAAGTATCCCAGTACATCAGAGTTTGTTCTAAGAAAAATTAACAAACAGCGGACCTTGGAGAGACCTGTGTGGGAGATCTCACAGCTGGGGAGCAGCTAAGTAGCTTTTTTCATGCAGAGGGTGGAGTGTGTACGGAATGAGCTGGTAGAGGCTGGTACAACTACAGCATTTAAAAGCGATAACACAGTGTGGAGCTGGAGGAACACAGCAGGCCAGGCAGCATCAGAGGAGCAGGAAAGCTGACGTTTTGGGTCGGGACCCATCTTCAGAAATTTCTGACTCCAGCATCTGCAGTTCTTACTATCTCTACAACATTTAAAAGGCATCTAGATGGGTATATGAATAGGAAGCATTTAGAGGGATATGGGCCAAATGCTGGCAAACGGAACTAGATTTATCTAAGATATCTATTCAGCATGGATGAGTTGGACCGACGGGTCTGTTTCCATGCTGCACATCTCTATGATTCTGTGACTATTTGACTTGTTCCCTCCCAGCCTTCCAGACCACTCAGTCTAACCCAATCCCTATTGCTGCCTACTCATTTGCTCAGAACACCTCCCCACCTTCCTCCTACCTGCACCAGCACCAATAACTGGCCTAAGGGAGTCCAAAACTAGAGGGCATGGGTTTAAGGTGAGAGGAGGAAGATTTAAAAGGGACCGTGAGGGGCAACCATTACATACAGAAGATGGTGCATGTATGGAATGATCTGCCAGAGGAAGCGGTAGAGGTGGCTACAATTACAACATTTAAAAGACTTTTGGACAGTTACATAAATAGGAAAGGTGTCCAACTGCAGGCTAGTGTGACTTGTTCAGTTTACTACGCTTGGTTGACATGGACGAGTTGGACCGAAGGGTCTGTTTCTGTGATGTATGACTCTATCTCACTCAATCCTTTGCTTTCTCTTATTCCAGAAGACAGGCCACAATAGGGCAGAAAGGGCTTGGGTGGGTGGAGGGGGTGCCCCACATCAGTCCCCTCAACCCTCCACCCCCACCCCCAAAGAGGAGAGAATCCTGGCCTTCACAAGAGAAGTCCTACAATGGTCATCCCTGTCCCACTAAATACCACTCTTCATTCCACTCGACTCTCACAGTAACCTCATTCTCAAGTTTTATTCATTGCACGCCATTTCTAACCACTGGCTGTGACACCTTCTCTCCCTTATATCTTGCAAGTACCAGCGGGATGTCCACGGCCCCAGCAGAGAAACAGCCTGCTGCCCAGAAACCTTCTGAGGACATTGAATACTGAGGGCTTTGAGGAAGCATTGGCAAGGTAGCCTCCTGCAGTAACCCCATCTCCCTGCCCCTCCTCCTCCCCCAAATATTGGTACCTTGGTGCAAACGTCAGACTTTGAGAGTGTGGGAACACAATCTAGTGAGCACCTCAGAGTGACAGGCTGGCTGAGGAAGACATGCCCCAGGTCGCTACCACTCGGAGGACTACCAGAGACCAGGCACCTGCTCAACCCCTGGCAGGAGTGGGCCCTGTCCTGTCAGCAATCAGGGACTTTATCTACATGTACAGGGA